TCTAGAAACAGCACACATGGAGGAACTACTCTGAATATCGCTGTCCATCAAAGTGCCCATTTGTTTCTCTGAAGTGCTATTAAAAACAGATGTTTTAATTGCAGAAGTTCAGAAATAGCCAGAACAAAGTTCTCTCTAGATAGCAAAATGTGAATTAAAATAAAGGAATACACAAGAGCCTGCAAAGAATAGTAGCTCCTGGTTATTTTGCCTCCTGCTAAAACCACCCCTGGACACTTGCATGCACCCACCGGAAAAGAAAATGGAGATTAGGAGAATGAGAGGAAGCATATTGGTCCCATCTTAATTGGGTGAAATTCATGCAACAGCACAAGCAACGGACAAGGACACACAAAACTTGTCTTTCAATGCAGAGGCCAAAACAAAAGCCATAGTTATCTATGACTCTGAACTACATACTTAAATGAAATTGCAATTGCCAATACAATTAATTAATTTGACCCCAGTATTCAATTCTATATTCAGTTATAAGATAAACCTGTCAAAATTATTCATACATAATGAAAGAAAAACAAATGACACTAGATTCAAACTGCAACAATCACAGGAACATTTTTATGGAAAGAATATAACACATTTCCAAGGAAGTTCCTATAAAGGTAATTAATGCTTTCAAAACTCAGCCTAAACAAAATGGCATAAACGAAATGTGACAATCTCTCACTAAAGGTCCCATGAAGATTTTGGTGTAGTAATACCATGACATTATTACACTCTAATAAGTACTGTATGTTCTCACATTTGATTACGTGGTACATATAATCAATATTTTGTTTATATTAGTGTTTAAGCTCAGATTCGTAATTTATCTCTGAAAATAAAATAGACATTTCCAGTCTTGAAAATGATAGTTAAATGTGTTTTTTCATCAGCTCAAAGAAACATATATATTTATGATTTCCAACTTCAGAATGCGAGCAAGGACCTTTGTGAACAATTTTATTCTGACCAGTTCCATCATGAAAGGCTCTACCAGGGCAGTACAGCTAGAAGCACCCACATTTGAGGTTTACGGCAGACCCCAGGTTTTGTCATTATTAGGTAATGAAATAGTTTATCCAAAAGCTACTGTGTTCAAACACTGACAGAAATGGTATGAACAAGATCTTGGAAAATTTTCTGCACATTTCCTTTAGCTCTCAGAAATATCCAAACATGTCTGCACATTTCTTAGCTGTTTGTTCAAAATGCTATCAAATATGTAGCTCTTTTTTCCTAGTCATTGAAAGCTCAAAATACTCAATTAAATGGGTTCTAAGAGGTTTTCTGCAAGCTAAAAATGGTATGAATCTAAACTGAACTTGACTGAATCTTGACTACATAACTACCTATACACTTGCATTGAAACATCTTAAGAAACAGCAACCAGAGGAACTCCAATACTGGAAAAATATCTTGGCAAAAAGGGTTACATTTTATACTTAAAAGTGCCTAGCCTGATAAACTCTTACCACTTCTGTTTAACCTTATCAAGGTTTTTAAATACAAAGTTGTCTGATTTCACCCATGAACTCAATAAAAGCTCATTCTGTAGCCTCATTCTCATTAAAGGAGTAAGTTTCAGGGAATAAAAATGATGTCATATTTCCACATGTACAAAAACCCCGTAATTAAAATCTTATTTTTTCCCTATGTAAACCAGTTATAGGACTTCCAAATTACTTTCTGAAAAATGCTTTTTTCCTCCCTTTTACAGTCAGAAAATTGAAACAACAACCACATAAAATGATCAAATAAAGATTATCTGTACAATTTTTGCAAGAATATTTAATACAGTGTATCCTGGCTTTTTGTTAGCACATGAATTCACTTTCTTCTTACAAACTCTCAGGAACTGTACTGTACCCTAAATCACAACCATTAAATTCCAAGTTTTTCTCTCTCGTATGACCATCAGTACTAACATAAAATATTAAACTACAATTTTGTCTGTGAATAATACAAAGTTAGCAAATGCATCAGTGTAGGTTTCAAAACAATTATCATTTGGCTTAATATACCAAAATGTTACTTTTAAAATCATGTTTTCACTTATTTAGTCCTGAATTTGCTTAACCAATCTGATAGCCTTCTACGATGGCATGACTGGCTGGGTGGATGAGGGGAGAGCACTGGATGTTGTCTACCTTGACTTCAGCAAGGCTTTTGACACTGTCTCCTATAGCATCCTCATAGACAAGCTTAGGAAGCGTGGGTTAGATGAGGGGACAGTGAGGTGGATGAAGAACTGGCTCAATGGCAGAGCTCAGAGGGTTTTAATCAGCAATGCAGAGTCTAGTTGGAGGCCTGTGGTTAGTGGTGACCTGGGAGTACTGGTGGATGACAAGTTGACCATGAGCCAACAATGTGCCTTTGTGGTCAAGAAGGCCAATGGTATCCTGAAGTGCGTTAAGAAGAGTGTGACCAGCAGGTCTAGGGAGGTAAGGCCACATCTGGAGTACTGTGTCCAGTTCTGGGCCCCCCAGTTCAAGAGAGATAGGGAACTTCTGGAGAGAGTCCAGCGGAGGGCTACGAAGATGATGAAGGGGCCTGGAGCATCTTTCTTATGAGAAAAGACTGAGAGGTGGGTCTGTTTAGCCTAGAGAAGAGCAGACTGAGAGGGGACCTTATTAATGTTCATAAATACCTAAAGGGTAGGTGTCAAGAGGATGGGGTCAGACTCTTTTCAGTGGTGGCCAGTGATAGGACAAGAGGCAACGGGCAAAAGCTGGAACACAGGAGATTCCACTTAAACTTGAGGAAAATCTTTTTACTGTGAGGGTAACAGAGCACTGGAACAGGCTGCCCAGAGAGGTTGTGGAGTCTCCTTTTCTGGAGATATTCAAAACCCACC